AGCCCACAGGTGCTTTGTCGTTGCGTTAGTCTCTCGGCCGAAACTGACTGGGCTGGAATTTCTGCTTCTTCCCACTGGGACACCCAAAGACCTGGCTATGGGGGAGTCGCCTTCCTACCCATGGTCGCCCTTCCCTCCCCCGCCCTGCCATTGTGTTGCCCCGGGGTCTGCCTCTCTCTGCTTTGGGTAGCAGGCGGCTGCTTTGCAGAGCAGGCTCCGCTGCCTCCCTCTTTGTTCCCAGCTTGGTGGCTCTTGGTAGTAGCCACACAGGATGTGTGTTCGGTGTGGGTGTGGGGTTTTTTTTGTGCTCGACAAATTTTTAGCCATGTGTTCGGTATTTTTTGGGAGACCATCTGGCAACCCTACTCCCCACTTCTGTATGTGCGCCATTGAAAGAACAGTAGGTTCTTTTGGCTTGGACTGTCTAATAAATGTGTAGAAGTGGATTATGTGCATGGCCTTCCAAAGTTTGGGGCCTGCTGCTGTAGTTAGACAGCCTCTGCCACAAACAGCTTACTGTCTAAGTCAGGAGTCGGGAGTCATTTTGGGGGTAGGGTCCGCTGACCCACAGAAAAATCAGCTGTGGGCCACACACATGAGAAACCATAAAAAACAAACAAAAACTAACAAAACAGACAAAACAAACCCTCACTGACGTGGGTCCTGACTGAGAAGGAGAAAGGCACGTCCCACATGCCTCTTGCACACCAGTGGCTAGCAGTCCAGGCTAGTACATTTTGGCTGTGTCTAGACTACATGCCTCTGTCGGCAGAGGCATGTAGATTAGACAGATCAGCAAAGGCAAATGAAGCCGCGATTTAAATGATCGCGGCTTCATTTACATTTACATGGCTGCCGCGCTGAGCCGACAAACAGCTGATCAGCTGTTTGTCGGCTAAGCGTGGCAGCCATGTAAATGTAAATGAAGCCGCGATCATTTAAATCGCGGCTTCATTTGCCTTTGCTGATCTGTCTAATCTACATGCCTCTGCCGACAGAGGCATGTAGTCTAGACACAGCCAAAATGTACTAGCCTGGACTGCTAGCCACTGGTGTGCAAGAGGCATGTGGGACGTGCCTTTCTCCTTCTCAGTCAGGACCCACGTCAGTGAGGGTTTGTTTTGTCTGTTTTGTTAGTTTTTGTTTGTTTTTTATGGTTTCTCATGTGTGTGGCCCACAGGTCTGTTTTGTTTGTTTTTGTACCCTGAGTGTGCTTCATCCCCGCAGTGTGCAGCTTGCGTTCCAGCAGTCTTTCCAATGCTGGGAGGGAGACCTGAGCCTTGGGGGTTGGATCCAGGCAAGTCAGGAGCCACATTCGGCCCCTGGAGGTTCCCCACCCCTGATCTAAGTACTGGGCTGTACCTGTAAGGCACAGCCCTGAGCAGAGGGTGATGTGTAAGAGGCATCATCCTTGGTAGGCTCCGTGACTCAGAGAAGCCCCTCTGTGTCACAAAATCCTTCCCTTTGTTCTGCTTGATGTAGTGATTTACCACAGGCCTCGTGGCTGAGCTCCACTGGATGGTGCATTGTGAGGAGACAGAGCCATGGGTCAGCCTCATGGGGCAGTTGGGTTTAAAAGCACCCACGTGTCCGGATTTACAGCTCATTACTCTCACATGTACAGAAGAACTTCAGGAACACATTAGATACATTGTACTACCTTCTAGAGAAGGTACTGTACTAAGTCCAATTCCTAATTCAGCCATAGGTGCCCTATATTACTTTGAACCAGTCCCCAATAGACTGAGGAAAAGCCCATTGAAATCCATGGAAGAATTCAATTTATTTCAATGGATTTTGATGTTTGTTTCTCCTACTCATCTGTAAATAGAGAAATATTATCATCCCCATCTCAACGGATAAATTCATTAATGCTCAGGTATTGTAAAGATAAAAGCCACAGACGTACATCAACGAACTACAATAATCAAAATGCAGGATGACTCAAAAGAGTATCTGTCAGAAGAGCTGGGGAAATGTGTTTACTTGGTCAAAATAGGCTGCTCATTCATTCTATTCTGATGTCCCTGCAGGAAATTCTGTGACACAATGAATTAGGAAAGGAAGAAATCGTACTGCGAGCAATGGAAACTAGGATGTCTTTGATTTCCGCCATGCAAGAGACTCAACATCTATCCCAGGAGAAGGGTCAAAGTCCAGCCAATGGGAACAGAGAACAGTTTGATTCAGGTGAGCTCTTGTTCTCCCAGTCAGTTTCACATACAGTTTGATTCAGGTGAGCTCTTGTTCTCCTTGTTACGTACATAAAGGATTTTCTCATGCAAGTTGGAATTTTTTAAAATTCAACATTTGGGAAAAATTGGCAAAACTTTTGACAAAATGTGAAATGTTTTCCCTTTTGTAGTTAAATCCTTTGAAAATATGGGGGGGAAGAAAAGCAAAATTTAAAAAATATGTTCAGAAGTTTTCCCTTTATTTGGATCCGCTGGATCGATCAACGTTTTTTAGATTTTTCTATGTCCTGTGTATTCATTGAGAATTTTTTTCCCCATGAAAAACATGCCTGGTACTGTATTTTTTAAATATGGTGCTAATGGGCACATCTCCACCGCACATGCTTCTCTCCTTGGGAAGAGAAGAGAATAAACATGGGGCCAATAGGTAATCATGTTGCTTAATGCATTGCTAGAAAGGGCTCAGACTAGATTGATGAGTACAGCCTAAGAATTTGCAGATAAAGTTAAGATTTTGTCATGGTTATTTTTTTAGGAAAAGTCAGGGACAAGTCTTGGGCAACAACAAAAATTTGCAGAAGCCTCTGACCTGTCCCTGGCCTCTACTAAAAATAATTGTGAGAAGATAGGGCTGATGCGGGGATGAGAAGTCATTCTTCCACTCTACTCTGCGCTGGTTAGGCCTCAGTTGGAGTATTGTGTCCGGTTCTGGGCACTGCATTTCAAGAAAGATGTGGAGAAATTGGAGAGGGTCCAGAGAAGAGCACCAAAAATGATTAAAGGACTAGAGAACATGACCTATGAAGGAAGGCTAAAGAACTGGGTTTAGAAAAGAGGTTAGTTTAGAAAAGAGAAGATTGAGGTGGGACATGATAGTAGTTTTCAGGTATCGAAAAGGGTGTCATAAGCAGGAGGGAGAAAACTTGTTCATCTTGGCCTCTGAGGATAGAACAAGAAGCAATGGGCTTAAACTGCAGCAAGGGAGGTTTAGGTTGGACATTAGGAAAACATTCCTAAGTGTCAGGGTGGTCAAACACAGGAATAAATTGCCCAGGGAGGTTGTGGAATCTCCATCTCTGGAGCTGGTTAAGAGTAGGTTAGATAAATGTCTATCAGGGATCGTCTAGACCAGTGGTTCTCAACGTGGGCCATACGGCTCCCCAGGGGGCCACGCCTTACTTCTAGGGGACCACATGGAAAAAAAGGAACATTAGGGGTCCACAGTAAGTTTCTCAGGGGGCCACCCAAACTTAACTGCCAGGCGTATGATGATGAGGCTCAGAAGGGGGTCTTGAGCAAAAAAAGGTTGCGAAACACTGGTCTAGACAGTACTTGGTCCTGCCAGGAGGGCAGGGGACTGGACTCGATGACCTCTCGAGTTCCCTTCTAGTCCTAGTATTCTATGATTCTATGAGAACCTGAGACCTGCCACTGGAGGGGTGGGAGTGGGGGCACCAGCTGCTATGGCTGTCTATTCCAGGCGACCCTCTGTTGCCTTTGGCAGCTTGGTGATCCGAGGTCCTGCCTCAGCTGGGGACTGCATGGTCCCCTCCCTGCTGCTGGGAGCTCTGGGGATAGCGGCTGCGAGGGGCCCTTACGTCCACAGCGCCTGGAAGCTCGGTGTCCCTCCATAGCAACTAAGAGCTGTGGGGCCCCTGCTGTCTGCGGTGGCTTGGAGCTTCAGCTCACCTGCCCCCCAGCCTGGGGGGAGGGATTGGAGCTCCAGGACCCCGTGCTGGTTTACAGCTCCAGACCTGCTGCCCTGGAGCTGAAGCAGAAAATGCCACGGCGGTTTCTGGAAGTCACAGAATCCATGACTTTTCTGACCCGTGTGACGTACTCTTAGCCTGACTTACGGAGAATTAAACTGAGTGTGTATCTTTCATAAAGCTTGGCAAAGTGAGCTCGGACTCCGTGACTACAGCCTCAGGGACAGGGACGAATGCACCTCAGCTGTATGCAGACCACCAGCATGCGGCCTGTGGACCACGTCAGTTCCACCTAACTACCAGCGTCCCGGTAGCTTCCACTGAGAACCTTGAGGCTTCTTGTCACGGGCGTTGGGTGCCAAGAATCTGCAGATCTGTCTGCCGTTGTTTAATGGTTCCGTACTCCCCTTGCGCTCTTGGAGAATAAAATGACCATTCCCCATGGCTGCTCTTGGAGATGGGGAACCTTTTTTGGGTTGGTGGGTCTGGGAGGGTGGAGGGTGCAGGAGCAGGCTGAGGGTGGGAGGTCTAGGCAGGAGGGGGTGAAAGGAGCATGGTGGTGGTGGGAGTCTGGGTAGGAAGGGGTGCAGGAGCAGGCTGGGGGTGGGAGGGCTAGGTGGGAGGTAGGTTGCAAGAGTGGGCTGGGAGATCTGGGCAGGAGGGGGCGCTTACCTGGCGCAGCTCCCCGGGGACGCACATGGCTCTGAGATCCCTGTCACTCCCAGGCACTGCTTCCTGCTGCTCCCATTGGCTGTGATTATAGCCAATCAGAGTGTTGGGGGAAAAGCCTCTAGGCAGCGCTTTGCTGCACTGCCGTTTCCCTGGAAAGGGGAGTGGCAGCACGCAAAGTCGCTTCCTTCCCCCACCAGGTGGAGCCCGTGAGTTGGGTTCGGCCGCAGCTAGTCTGACTCCAGCCTGTGATACCCAGGGCTCCCTCTCCCCACAGCAGGGAGCTGGTGCTCCATCCCCATGGAGTAGGGGCAGATTCAGTCCCCGGGCCTTAGGTTTTGCACCACAGTTGTACACTGTAAGAATTATAGGAGGGTTTTCTGACAGGCTCAGCATTGGCCTAAATCTTTTTTCATTGAAGCCAAAGGACATTTAACCATTGATCCCATACATAAGAACGTAAGAATGGCCGTACTGGGTCAGACCAAAAGTCCATCTAGCCCAGTATTCTGTCTTCCAACAATGGCCAATGCCAGATGCCCCAGAAAAATTGAACAGAACAGGTAATCTTTACATGATCCCTCTCCTGTCACCCATTTCCAGCCTATGGCAAACAGAAACACCATTTTTACCAATCCTGGCTAATAGCCATTGATGGACCTAACCTCCATGAATTTATCTAGTTCTTTTTTGAACCCTGTTAAAGTCCTGGTCTTCACAACATCCTCTGGCAAGGAGTTCCACAGGTTGACTGTGCATTGCACGAAGAAAAAGTCAGTGATTAAAATCCCATTGGCTTTGAGAATAGGCCAGTGGTGAATGCTTTTAAAATCCCCTTTGGCATGTTTTCAGGACTAATTGGTTCTCTTCTTTCAGACCGCTGTTGGTGTTCTGTTGTTCACCTTCCCAATAAAGCTCTTGAAGGGAAGAATGGACAGCTATGCATTATATTTGAAAGGAACTCAAACAGAATTGCCAATCAGAGCTTTATATTTTTAATCCCACCTGAAAAAAACCGTGAAAGCCTTTTTTTTCTACAGCCACCCTGTGTTTAAAAGTGAAAGCCTCACTGTTTTCTCAGCATTGATGTTGCAGTGTGTGGGTGACTTCACTAGATTTTGAACTCATCCAGCTCACACATCTTTGCATATCATCTCCAACACATCTGGCTTCTACTACAAAGCTTGCTTTAAAGATAAGCTCATGGAGAGTTTCAGTCTGCCAGGGGCTATTCCCCTCCACTGCCTCTACTAGAGGGTATACAGCACCCTGGAGAATAAGATTCTACAGGCGTGATGCTGTGAGCTCCGGGCATGGCACAGCACCTTGCAGGTGGTTCTGGGTATCTGGCAGGATTGGGCCCCTGAATTCTTGGAGGGCTACTAAACAGTTTCAAACTGCTTTGCCTTGAGTTTCAAATTCAACCTGTTGCTCCCCTCCAGTGGTTTATTTGGTCCTTCCTTTGCCTCTTTTCAGGCTGTCCCTGATCTCATTCACAGCACCCTAGGAATTCTGTCACTCAAGATTTCTGCCTCCTGACCATCAACCATTTGCTTACTTCAGTCATTTTTCTACTTCTGTCAGCAGCAGGATTTTCCCCTGCTCTTAAAAAGCTGATAATGAGGCCCTTGCTTTTGGGGGGCTTTTTTGGTATTTCACCTCCTTAGCTTTCATGGCAGGAAAGGAATCCAAGGCCCCAGTAAATGGGCAGTGACATCTGAACTGAATAGATTTGTCACCCAGGGGTCTTTCTGCTTCCTGCCTCTTTTCCATGACCCAGAAAATCTCATCTGATACCTTGTAAAGGGAAGAGAATTAATGGTTCATCATGAAGGGCGCCAGGCCATTAGCCCCAGAAACAGACGTTCTCGGCTTATTCACAGAACATAGGTTGCGGCAGCACAAGCATTGTCCGTTGGGTAGCACACCCAGTCCTTAGAAACTGTGAGTCCAGTCTCCATGTATAGAGTCTGGCTCTGTAACTCACTCTCATGTTTATCACTCTGGTGGTCTCCAGTTTTGGCTAAGTTAGTGGTGGTTGCATACGTGGCGGCTTGTTTGAGATCTGAAGTGCTGCAGGCCTCAGCGATTTGGGATGTGCTTCTGCTCAGAAGAGGTTTATATTCCCACTCTTCAGTACGTGTTATGTGTCTCCCTGCTTCCGATGCCCACTCTGCAGAGGATATGGGTCTTAGGGTATGGCTACACTACAACGTTAGTTCGAACTAACTTTCATAGGCGCTACACTAGCGCTCCGTTAGTTCTAATTTAATTCGAACTAACGGAGCGCTTAGTTCGAACTAGGAAAACCTCATTTTACGAGGATTAAGCCTAGTTCGAACTAGCTAGTTCGAATTAAGGGGTGTGTAGCCCCTTAATTCGAACTAGTGGGAGGCTAGCCTCCCCAGGTTTGTCTGATGGCCACTCTGGCCAACACCCGGGA